ACTATAAGTAACTTTGGGTATAAATATACAAAGTAAATTTGAAGAAAAGAAGTGTGAAAGGATTGCTAAATCTGAACAGACTTTCATAAGAGGTGATTCTGGATATAAACGTAGGATTCTGAACTGTGAAGAGAAACTATGAGTCATTTCAGACAGAGGAAATCACATCAGATAAGGCTTAAAGGCAAAGAGTGACTTTGTGATGATTGAAAGTTGGTAAGCAATGATAAAAGTTAATAATACTAGTACTGTATTGATATTTATTAAGGATTTACCATTTTGTGCTAATCCTCATGAGTAGTAAATATCTTTATTTTTCCATTTTACAGAGAAGGATATTAAGGCTTAGAGTAGTTAAGTAACTTGCCCATTGTCTCACAGCCTTTAATGGTAGAGGCCATGCTTGAATCTAGTTCTGTCTGATGCCAAAGCCCAAGTCCCTGATCACCAAGTAGAGCTGTATCTTACTTTGAGATTAGGCTCAAAGAGCAGCAACCAGGGTGAAAATCAGGCAGAGGTGCAATTATGAAAATCCTGTAAGGAGGCACCATTTTGAAGAGCAACATACCATTCATTTTCCAGGAAGCCCAAGACAGCCAGGAGTTCCTCTACCATTGGTTCAGACTATAGCCATTTTGGATAAACAACAGCTGTTAAGTTTGCAGTTAGGGACAGTTGTTTGGAAAATACATACCTTTAAACACTGGACACACAGACCATAGGGTGAGATGCTGTCAATATAGGAAGCGCTTAGGGACAGAGACTGAGTGAAAGAGTAGAATCAAGAAGTCTCCCATCAGAACCTTCCTGTACCACTTAAAAAGTTCATTCTTGCCCCTGCTCCTCCTCTTCCTTATTCTGTGCATGTTTGCAGTTGATTTGTGTGTACCACTTGACGTGATACAATCTTGCCAAAAGCCAAGTAGTCTGGATAGTCTAGAGAGGATTATTGAATTCTATACAATATTGAAAATCTTGTTAAATATTTATTACTTGTAGAATATCCACAGCCAAAGCTGGTAGAATCAGGCAGCACATTAATCATGGGAATACATACTTAAAATCTCTCCAGAATTAATCAACAAAAGGAAAGGTTTCAACTGTGTAAAATAAAAACATGACATTTGAGATGCAGGCAAGCCATTTTACTATGAAAAGAAGGAAAATGCTCACTTTAATTCAGTCTTCCCTCATTGTTTAGGGGGTCCTAACTGATGGACTGGTAGAGTCCTTGTTATTTGGCTGCGTTTGGTGACTGTGGGCTGGAAGAGTGTCATGGGAGTAGAAATCCTTTTTCAGAAGCTGAAAGAAAATGTCAGGTATCTCCCTTAGCCAGTCATCATTGACTTCGTGTCCTTCAGGTTGCTGAGAGAATAGTTCTCTTCAACTCTATTCCCACCCCAGCACATTGAGGCATGGGGCACGCTTCCATCACGATAGAACAGTGTTCTCAGTAGGGGAAGAGTGACAACATTCTACTTCTCAGGATAGGAAAGCAAAATTTGGAGAGTTTGGATTGAGTGTAGTTTGAAAAACTTTCTTGTGCAGAGTCTGTTACATCATCCTAGGAGGTAATTTCTTTTCTCTCCAATGTATCATTATTGGTTTAGAACAATGGCACTTGATAAATATTCATTGACTTTAAGTACTAACTTAGGGTTTCTCACCCTGACTGGGGGCTTTTGCATTTGTTGGCATCCACTCAAGATGTGTGGAATGGGGGCTGTCCCAAAGCTTGGTGTAGTGGCTGAAGGGATGCTGTTAAAGAGCTGAGAGTAGTATGTCGGAGAGATCACAGCTTGAATGCCTGTCATGCTTACAGATGCCCTTTGAAAGAAGCTGCCCCAACTGCGGCCCCCTAAAAAGGTAGAAACACAGTCTGTTTTTTAGCATAAGTGACCATGTTGTCTAACATGTTGAGTCTACCATCCTAGACACACACAGTTGAAGAAGTAGGTGAGGACACCTGGCTAGAAGGTAGCCAATCTATAGGCTGTTCAGTGGCTTAGGAGAGTCTCATACAAGAACTTTACAAAAAACAGTGGTGATAGAATCAGATTCTCCCCTCTAGGGCATTTGATATAATCAGATTCTTCCTGTTGGGACTACAGAGAGAGAAGAGTCAACTGGTAGGTAGTGGAAACAGAAGTGGAAGGAACTGTGGTTGTGCAAGCTGAATTATTGCTGTGTTCTGAGACATTTCATGTGGAGTAGGGCAGCAGTGTGTTGGGGCAGGCTCCTACAAGCCCGAGAGCTGGTTGTGTGCATCTCTTCCCAACTCTACCTTCAGAGACTCAGGTTGGTGGGAGTACTGACACCATATAAATTGGTTTTTGTTTCAGTTCGGGTCTCCTTCCTCCAGATGTGGTTGTTAACCATTTACTGGCACACCACTGGGTTAGGGGAGGGATGGTCTATATATATATATATGAAGTCAAGGAAGTGGTTAACTCCTCTGGGTCCTTTGTCTTAAAAACAATGTTTAAGGTAATATGTTAACATGATTGTTATTAAGATTACAATAAAAAAGACATTAAACATTGTGAAATATATGATTTATATATCAGTGGTTAAATTACAAAACTCATAGGAATGTGGTCAGAGGGTAGGACTTTTCCTGTTACCTATCAAAGGCACAGGCCCCCACCCCCCAGGCCCACAAAGGATGACTTGACAAGCCGGTTAAGTCTCTGGCCTTATTTCCACACGTATTCTTTACCCCTACTACTTGAGGTAACCTGAGTGCACACCAGTTACTTAAAACCACAAGAGCCCAACGAATACAGTTTTGAATGCCACTTTTTTTTTTTTTTTTAATGTAGAGAAAATGGGACAGATTAGAATGGTAAAAAGAGTACATACGGACTTTGGAATGAGGTTTGAATTCCAGCACTACTACACCCCTTCCTGGTAGTGTAATTTACTTATCTACGTCTGTCTCCTTAGCTGTAAAACAGGGATAAAAAATAAGCTCAGAGATATCTGTAAGTGTTAAATGAAATACCACATGTAGTACAGTGCGTGGCATTTGGTATGCACCCAGTAACTTGTGTTCTTTTTTCCCCCTCTTTAACATACTTAATCAAGCCTTTAGAACAGCTGCTGGTGTTGCTGTCAAGTCAGCAGAGTTGATACAATTAAGTCTCCACTTATATTAACATGTATAAGGTTGTAATGATATTGCATTCTTTATAATTTTACATTTTTGTACTTAAGGTCAACTAAAATATTTTAAATGTAGCCATAATTATTACATCCTTTGAAACAAGCCTTTCTCTACACTTAGGGAGCTCCTATATGCCAATCTACAAATGACTGGGCTCATTTTACTTTTGTTTTTAAATAAATATTTAGACTATGGGCAAAGAACTATGCTAGGCATTGTGGGAAAAGTAAGAAAAACAGATGCTTATATAATACATGATTAAATATACAAGAAAAGAGGAAAGTGAGGTAATACTCAAGTTTTCTGAGTATTTCCCTCTAACTACCCAGCTACTAGTAACTAAATTGAATAATAATGCTATGTGTCTTTTAAATCCCTTATTTACTGTATTAGAGTATATTTACTGTTAATTTACTTAGGTCATCTGCTCTTAGTCCCATTATCACTGCTAGTACATTAAGGGCGAAATCTGTTCACTTGCCAGGGATGTTGTGGGATGTGGCGTTTCTCAGTACCAGATGATTTAAGGGGAGCCACTTGCAAGTGGACTGGTTTTTGGCATATGGACCTTAGTACTTTGCCAGAATTGAATTTGTTTTGAAATAAAGTTTCTGATTTTTAAATATATATAGCATTTTCAAACAAATAGTGTGATGTACAAATTACCATACTTTAGTTCATGTTAGAATAATCCACATTCTAAATCGATTTGACATTTACCCTTTAAGTATTTCGCATCAATAAATCATTTCTATAGCATCTTAAAATGTTCATAAGTAATTACATAACATCCTATGTCCCCAGGGCCTGTCCTACCAGTGAGAAAAAAATAAATTATAGTAATTAAGACAAAATTATGTTGTCTTGAAAAGCTAAGGGTCATTTGGACTTGATTCTTGAAGGAGTTATCAGTGCCAAAGAAAAGTCAGGGAACTACTGGCTTCGGCCTGTAATTACACATCTGGGACTGTAATTATGATGACATTTTGATCGTCAGAGGTAACACCTTTTGAATAAATTTCAACATTGCCCTTTAGACAAGCTACAATAAATACAAAACCAGTGTGAGGGGGTTGAGGAGAGGTTGATGGTGGAAAGAACGACAGGTCTAAATATCAGCCTTTAGGTAGTGTGCAAAACTTGTCATTCAGCTTGCCTCAACTCCATATATGGTATTCAAAATGTTTGAAAAGAGCCCCTTTGTAATTTTGGCTAAGCGCGCACACACACACACACACACCCTGGTGTAGAGGGTCCACTCACCTGGAATGCAGGAAGGTTGTTTCTGTATTATAATGTGTTTCTTGTGCATAGGATGGTCACCTGAGTGTGTGTGCATAACTGGCAGTACCGTTCCAGCATCACCCTCCCACACTTTTTAGTATTTGACAGATCTGTTTATCCCTTCACTACCAAAGCTCGCAACTCATCAGGGGCAGAGCAAGAGTCTCCTCAAACCCTTAAACTCAGTCTTCCCCCTCGCTCCCCGCCCCGGTCCCTTGCTCGCGGTCCGGTGTCCTAGCGGTGGTTTCTCTTTTTCCTAGCCCTCAGGGGTCGCAGGTGGGTCTCGTAGGTGGGATGCTCTGCTCTGCTCTTGGGTTTTAACACTGGGAAGGCACGCCCCTGGAAGAGGGCTTCCATCTCTGGATCGCGCCCGGCGGCCTCTGGCGGCTGTAGAAGAGGAGGATTCGGAGGGTTCGGAGGATTCGGAGGAGGAGGGAGCTGGCGGCGCCGAGGTCGGGCAGCGGGCCCCGTCCGCGGCGGGCGCGCTCCGCCGTCCTCCCTCGCTCGTCTCCTATGCTCATATTTGGAGTCGGCTGCCCGTGCCCAGGAATTTCCCGTCATGCCTCCCGCCGACCCGTCCGTCGCCCGGAGCCGGGGAGGGAGGAAGGGAGGCTCGGACAGCGGCGGCGGCGGCGGCGGCTCCCTGGCCTTTCCATGAGCCCGCGGCAGACCCTCCCGCGCCCCGTCTCGCTCTGCCTCTGCCTCTGCCTCTGCCTCTGCCTGGCCGCGGCCGCGACGCGAGGAGTCGCGCAGTCGGGTGAGTGTGGGCTGCCTCCCCGCCCCGCCGCGCCCCTCCCTCCCCGGCCGTGCCAAGTGGAGGTGGGACCGCGACCCCAGACCCCCTCCGAGCGCCGGCGGCGCCGCGTTCAGCCTCCTGCGGGGACGCCCCCTCCCCGAGGCGAGAAGGGGCGCGGCACCGCAGCGCCCCGCGCGGGCGGCGAGGGGCGGCTTTAAGGAGGTCAGGGCTGGCTTCGCCCCCGCCGACGGGGGGCGTCTG